GATGCACAAACTACAAGTTTCACAGCAAATGGTACGAATGAAGTTTTTTTTGAGATTTCTTTGCACATGGCATGGTCATGCCAAGGTATGCAATTTTGAATGCCGTGCATATCATACATGATCTGCACGCATACAGCCGAACCATGTTGTGCACGCATTTGAATGCACAGTGCACGATGGATGTTTTTGAACGTTTTTTTGTTCGCAGAGCAGTTCACTTGTAAGATGTCTTTGTAAAGAGGAGACATGTTGTGAACTTGCAGTCATGTCTGCTGAATCAGTTTCAGCTTTTGGACATCGGCGTATGGACGCCGCAATCCTTTTCTTCCCAAGAGAAGAGGGCCGTACAGAAGAGGCCAAGGACCGTGAATGAATTTCACGTTCGGTTTGCGTAAAAGGGACTGCCCGGAGCTTTGAAGGTGTCTTTCAACTTTTGCTTTGCTTTGTTGTGTCTTGTCGTGTTGTCACACGCACATACTTGCGTATATAGTGCATATCCACTTCGCGTAAGCTCGCGCTTTAATCTCGTGTAACACGTTACGCTGGTAAGGTCGCGTAAACGTACACTGGACTTGTAAGTGCAACCAGTTGAATGGGTTGTGCTACAAGAAAGGTTTTTTCCATGGCATGAAGCATAGCAACCACTGATCCACTTTGACATGGATGCAACCGGCGTTGGAGCATAGCAATGCTCGGAACCTGCATCGTGACCATGTTTTTGCCACACCGTGCAGTGGCCGCTGGTCACTGGTGATTGAGAGGTGAAGTCCATTTGAAGACTTTTTGGAGACTTTGCTAGAGCACAAATCCGCGCTGCCATGCTCTTCGTTCGAGAATTTCAGGCCCATTGATAGTCAGTAGTTTTCGTTTCACTTGTTTCACCTAGCACAGAGGAAAGACTACAAGATGGTGGAGACTCGGCCTTTGGGCTGTGGTTTGCGGTTGTTTTGTTGTTGGGTTGTCTTTGTCCTTTTTCTCCACCATCTGACTGTTTTTCCCTTCCTTCAATGATGACCTGGGCACCATGCCCACACGGCGTCCGCACTCGTGGAAAAAAATCTGCTTGGTTTCTGTGGTTGTTTTTGTGTGTGTTTTGGGTTGTTTTGTGGGTGTTTTGGTTTGGTTCCTTTGCTCTCTTTGGTCAGGCTCATTTCCTCGCACCCCTCATACGAATTCGACACGGTGATTTGTGCCTCTCGGCACACATAGCGCCCCTACCCGTGCAAAAAAAGATACTACCACCACTACTACTACCACACTACTACTACTACTACTACCACTACTACTACTACCACTACAACAACAACAACAACAACAACTCTGCTACCACCACCACCACCACCACCACTACCACTATCACTTCCACCACCACTACCACTACCACTGCCACTACTACTGCCACTACTACCACTACAACCACTACCACCACTCACTGCTACACCACTAGTACTACTACCACCACCACCACCACCACTACAACCACCACTAATACCAACTAAGAGTAATACTGACACTAATATCACTACTACGACTGGTACTAGGCCAGCCGGCCGGCCGAAATAGCAGGCCGGGTTGCCCGCGCTGTCCCTGGAAAGAAGTCAGTCTATGTGGCTTCAAGAGATATCTGAGGGATCCTTGCTTCAGTCCTTGTCGACTTGCTGTTGAAGACTTGTGGACGTCACAGCTGAAAACTCAGTTGGTGAGCATAGTTTTTCAATCAAATGAGGAAAGAAGACAGAAGAATGGAATGTATAGAAAAAGGATAGAGTAGCTAGCTTGTAGCGACCCAGTATGGCTCTCTACATGTAGCTCTGTGTAAGGATTTTGAGTTTGATTTTCCTTAGGGTTGGTGCCCCTTTGTGTTTTTGGTTCCTTCTTGCTGTTTGGTTTTGGGAGAGTCTCAACCAGAGTGGTCGTGGTAGACTTCTTGGCTGGTTCTTGTACTTTGAAGAGCTTTCTTAGTCTTCGGACTGTGTAGCTCAAGAGTCAGAGAGTTGTGACTTGTTTTGGCCACGTGAACGCTTTGCTGAAAGCCAAGAGCGGGACCAAGAAAAGGAACGGTGCGCTGTCCGTAACACACACCGGTGGATTTGGTGTCCCTTTTTTTCGATCACCAACCAAAACCACAAACACCTTCCAGTGCCAACCGTCTGCAAACATGATGTCAGCTGCAAGGTCACAAGTGCTCGAGATCCTTCCTTCGTCGCAAGCCTTCGACCTCTCAAAGCCCCTGCCTCGACCTGCACTTCTCAACTCTATCTCCAAATTCATTGAGCTGCCGATTGAGTGATGACATGATTTTGGTCTCCAGCAGGTGTGGATCACCTAGTGCCTGTTTCTTGGGTAGATTTTCGTTTCTGATGACTTGCGGGAGCTGACTTTGGTTTGTGGTTTTTTGTTGGTGCTTTGCCTTGACCAACTTGGCAGAAATAGAAAGTTTGGTGTGGTTTGACGCAAAAAAATGCTTAGAACATTTTGGCAGCACAGTGTCGCACATGGAGACTGTTTGAGACAGTTCTTTTGGTTCTGTGTGGGCAAACAAGACTCTTTTAAGAAGAAGTGACTCTTCTATTGGAAACTTTGAGAAGGGACAGTCTGAACCGACTGTGACTTTGGCTTGAGGCATCGTTTTTACGGTAGCGGCGCTCCGAGCCACAAGTCTAGTAGGAGTGAGCTCTGGACCTTAGATAATTCCAACGAGTCCAAGTCCTGAGGATCAGACAAGTGTGGTGCCAAGTTTTTTTGGTGTCTTCTTCAGCGAATACACCTGATTTTGAATGCTGGACCACCTTTTGCATGCTAGCGGACTGACTAGATTGACTCTTTGCAAGCGAGAGATCCTTGGTTGAGTTGGCACTCTGGGCGAGAGCAGTGACACAGGCGTTGTGGGCTCAGTATGGACAAGCATCAGTGCGTTCAGTGAACCAACCTTGTGGAGGTCTCGTAGGACACCCTAAAGATGGTTTGAATGGAATTTAGGGTGGTTGTTCTTCACATGGTCCTTGAGGTGATGGGCATCCACAGCAGTTACCAAGGTTTGTGCTGCTCTAAGCCTTGAACCCCCTTCATGTTCGACGTCTTAAGTCCAGATGGTATTGGAAAGGTATTGCGCTCTAAGTGCAAGTCTTTGACTTTTGTGTTGTTGTCGACTGGAAGTGGAGCGGTTGGAAATTCAACAGCGGGTTGTCATCGTCGGGCAGTTTTTGGACATGCGTACGGCATAAACTGCAGAATGCGGATCTATCTTGGAAATCCGGCAACATTCTTGTTCAACTGTTGCCATGTCAGCAAACACCAAACTTCGGTGACATTAAACACACAAAAGCATGTTTGTCAGTCGAAGGTACGTTGGGTTGCGAATTAGGTGTTTTCGCAGTGGAGCTGAAGTTGCATGTGTTGTGAACAGCAAACACCATTGAAAATGCTGGCCCGTGCGCTTTTGCCTGATGGTATCACTGGCAATTTGTTGGGATATGGAGGCACGGGAAAGCTGGGGCATGTTTTTTGTGCTGCTTTGCCACACACAGCAGGTTCAATCTGAACTAATTTGTTTTTTTCGCTGTCATGAGAAACTTTCTTCAAAATAAACGGGTTGAGAATGGTGACCCCTCGCGAATAGGAGCTGGAAGGTGCAATGATGAAAAGGTGTCACGGATGCTATTACCCATTGATTGAACAGTTGGTGTTTGCTTGAAAAACATAACCAAATCAAACTTGAACATGCAACCTGCGGTCCTTGAGAGGAAATTGGAATGTGGCTGCTTCAGTGGCCGAGGAAGGGTTGCAGGGTTGTTGGAACTCTTGGGTTGCCAATTGCAATGTTGAGGAGAGAATTCAAGAACATTTAGGTGGAAAAGGCATTGATGACTTTTGCAAGATACTTTCAGATTCCAAGTGGCGTACTGAGTTTTTGGGAGGAATTTTGTGACTTATGGTTGCAACATCGGCTATGCATTTCGATATGTTGTTTTGAAATTAACGTTCGTTAGACTCGATGGACCGATCACACTAGCACCATGCAAAGCTTCATGCTCTACACGACACACCAGTGCAAAATTTCATTTGCAGACTGATTCAACCTTGGCACTTGGCACCTTTGTGTTTTCCTTTCCAAGAAGGCCCAGGTTTGTCATGTTTCGTCATTTTATGAAAAAAACATTGACTTTGAGATGTTGTGCTGGATGGTGGGCATTGGCATTCTGCGAGTCAGACGTCAGGTGCTTCTGCCCCGGCTGGCTTCGGGGAGCTTGGAGTTGCATGCAGGAGCCAAGGCATGTCGAAGTGTTGAGTTGTAACTACTTGGAGAAACACTGTATGTCTCACTGTATGTCTTTTTTTTTCATCCCAATACCGTTTCATGTCCAACCGAGAAAATCCGACTTAAGTACTTAAGTGACCCAGGCGCCGCTCCGGCGCTCGCTCCGCCGCCTCCGGTTCCCAGGCGCCGGCGCCCGAAGCCTTGCGCCGCCGCCTCGCACAGCGTGTGTCGTGCGGCTCGAAGCCCGATGCCGTGCGTCTGAGACGGCCGCAGAGGAGGCGGTGGACACCGTGGTGTGTAGTGACTGGGAGGGGCCGGTCACCAAGACACGGCCGGAACAGGTGAATAGACATGGCTAGTCCTTGGTTAGAGTGCTTCTCCCCAAAGAGTTTACGGTTGAGGTTCTCTCTTAATGAAAAAAGTCATTGGTCACAGTGCCAGGCCGCGCCTTTGAAATTTGTGTCGGGGTCTTGTCCTCCTGTTGTCCTTTTCTTGTCCTCCAGTTGTCCTGCTGGCCCCGCTTGCCAACCTTGTGCCCTCCTCTTGTCCTGCTGTCCTCCTGCCCTGTGTCCTCTTGTGCTCCTGCTGTCCTCTGGCCGCGCTCGCGAATCCTGTGTCCTCCTCTTGTCTTGGTGTTCTCCTGCTGTCACAATGGGCTAATGGGCATGAAATTGATGTGGAGAGGTATATAAGTGGATTCGTTCGGTACCAATCGCTCTCACTTGCCTGACATTAATGTTTCACGTGGGTTGAAGGTGTTGGGCCTCGAGTTTGGCACCTGTCTAAATCAAATAAAGTCTGCAGACCATCAATTTCATGAAAACAATAATCCCGAAGACCGCTTCATCCACCGCGCATGGGTGACGCAAGACTCGCTTCAGGCATTTGGGTAGTGTGATGGATAGCCTTGCGGAGGAGAAGGTGGGGTTGACGGACTTGGTGTCGGGCACTGAGAGCTTTGCCGACATAGGCTGTAGAACCGAGTACAACCCATCAGAAGTGTCTCTACCAAGGTCTGCACAGTCACACCCTCGTGCAGGTGCTAATTCTACATTGGGGAACCTTCTAGACGGCAAAGCTTCCACAGTATTGTTAATTGCTTTGGATGCATGGCACAAAGTGGCTCCCGACTTGCAACTTTTTGACATTGCAAAATATATCAAACGACCTGGACATAAAATGCTTCGAGGTTAGGTCCCTAGGTCCTTTTGTGGGAAACCACACATTCTATTCACCAACCCAACTCGGAGGTCTGGGCTGCTGCAGTGATGGACCTCTCTGGTTTGGCCTGGACCCTCCGATTTCAACGGCGAGCGCATGACTTGCGGTGGAAGTCTTCGGGGTGATTTTCTCTCCGGATTCGAACGCTCACGACTGATGCACGAGGAGCTTTTGGATTGGATTTCTTGTACAAGGTTGACCCACTCAATGTACTCAATTCGTCGCTTGCATCTTTCATCCACGGGTTCGTGCCTTCTCGGAGACTGAGAACAATGGTGACCCTGGTGGGTCTTCACTTGTGGCAAAAGTCAGGGCTCACACCTGGGTGTGCATTTGAATAGGAGACTCCCTATTTTAACAACACACCCTGGCCTGCAAAGGCACGGGAGGTTCCCGCCGCCCACCCCCACGTCCAAACCCCCCGCCTCCAGCTCCGTCCGAGACGCCGCGGGCGGATCCGAGGCTCTACCCCCTCATGCGATGGAATTCCTCAAGTCCGCCAGCGGCGAGGATTGGCGGGTCGACCGTGGACTGGGCCGTGGACTGGACCGCTACTGGTTGGTTCTCATCACGGCCGAACACCGCCCGTGGGTGATTCTGAACACTCAAAAAGGTCGCCTGATTCTGAAATTGTGAGACCTCGTTGACGGGGTGACGTTTGCAGTTCCTGAGCTGTTGGAGGCTGCAGAGACTTCGTGTCTTAAAAATAGGACGTTTTTACCGACTTCCAACGTTGGTGGAGGTTGGAATCTTCGAATGCGGGATCAACTCGATCTTTGTAATTTTGGTAGGTTAGGCATCGGTTTGTGGCTTTTGTCTGGAGAGAGGGGATCAGCACCAGGTTGTTTCTTTTCAGCATTTTTCAGCACTTGTATTTTTTTCTTGTTTTCAGAAAGGAACGCTGAATCCAGCGAGACGCAGGTGCTTTGTGAGATTTTTCGCCGCCACGGAGAACAGCAGGCGAGCGGCGGGTGCTGTGGCCTCCAATGAGCATGAGGATTTGGCTCAACACGAGGGACATGAGGGTGATGTGGGACACCACAAGCAGTTCAGGCGGATGGGTGATGAAAGATAGAACCCCACGGATGGGTCTGTTCGCGAGAAAGAGGACGTCGCGCACCCAACTCCTCGGAGTTTGCGGGAGCAGATCTCATCGACACACATCGACCGATCTCATCCTTACTGGCAGGATGACTTGCTATGGGCACGCTATGCTGAGGCCATCGATCCCAGGGGCAACGAGGGGCGATGGTGCCATGCATGGAATCCATGCATTTCCGCCCTCCTCGGGGACCAGCCTTCTTAGAAAAAGGTCGGGGGTGAGTAGGTGGTCGGACCGGATGCATCCATGATTGGTGAAGTTGAGAATGAACAAGCGTGGAAGCACAACATCACTTTCGCTTCCATGCTCATGCTCTTGGGATTTTGGGCACCTTGAGCATTTTAAGAAGTGCCCTTATGCGTCCACACATCACGCAGTGAAGCATCATTTGTGTGCCAGAAGAACAGGGTGCCATCTCCACACTCCAAACCTACAATTCTGCCATCCTTCGTCTTTGCTCGTCAGGGGGTCCCGGTCTTCGATTCGAGTTCTGAGGCATTGAGGGCATGACGTTTCCCCCCAAAACCTGTTGCCTTCACCCTATCCACACTCCGTTCGGGGCCAGGTGGTCGCACGCTTGAGCCGAAGTCTGCAGGCCGGCTCGGGCAAGGGATTCTCGGGGCAGCCAGCTGGGTTTGATCGAGCAGGACCTTCAGAAGATTGAGGTCTCGGTCTCAAGGTGCCTTTCTCGGAATCTGAGGTCTCAGATGTTTGGATCCATATGCCATACCTCATGACATGCGCCAGAAAACCATCAGAAAACCACCGGAAAACCCTGGCGGTTTTTGAAATCAACTCTCTGAGCCGTTTCGGTTTTTGGAACCAAAACGGCCACCAACCTGTCTCCTGAGTCTCCTGAGTCGGTGAAAGGGTAGAAAGAGGGACCCTACGCCCTGGACCCCTCCAGTCAGGACATCCTTGGACTACTGGAAAACCACTGCGGGTGGGTGGGATGAGGGATGTTGGCGGCATGGGTTGTGCCCAAGGCACGAGGGGAACCCCAGTTCCGCCGATTGGATCTAAGCAAAAGGCAACGGTTTTCCAAAAGCTTGAGAGTGGAGATCTCAGCTTCAGCCCGTATGTGAGGGTTTCGGGGGCTTATTGCAGTTCACCTCAAGTTATGCTTGACCTTAGTGATTTGTCAATCCCTGTTCTACTCATGGCTTCCTGCCATCCCCGCCTGATCCCCCCTCGGTGTGGAGGAGAAAGCGGAGATCCCTGGCAGGGGCTCCGAGACGACCCAGTGGATTTTACCGAACGCGGGCTAAGCGACCCAAGTTCTGGCCACCCGAGCTGGAGTTCTGGCCACCCGAGCTGGAGTTGTCAGCCTTGCGAATTCGCGAAAGTGCTGTCGGTTGTCTCTGTCAAAGAAGCGGTCCAAGAACGCTCGTCAAGGATACGTAGATGGGTGAGCCAGTGGTCACGGAGAGACATCATGCTTTCCAGTGACTCTATGTTCGGGAAGCTTGGGCACCATCTCACGGGATAGATCCCAGACCTGAAGGGTAGCAGGGTAGCACGTCATAGGTAAGGATGTGGGTGGGGGCGTTTTGCTCAGCTGCCTCCACCGGCCCATGTCTCGAGCCCTTAATCTGGAGTTGGTTTCGGGTGCGAGGAACCTCTTGAAGTCAGCTGATACCCACCAGAAAGGTCGTGCCGCACGGAACACGTCGTATGAGACACCCGCCGAACGACGGGTCCAACGAGGTGGATCCCATCGTTGCTTCCTGACTCTCTTGGAAGGTGCCATGACAGATGGTTTATGGAAGAACTCAAGTAGTTGGCCAAGTCCCCTACATCGTCATGCCAGTGATGTTTTCTAGTTGAACCAACTATATACAGTATATATGTTTGATTTCTTATACACCTATCACCAAGAAAACCCTTCTAGGAACAAGGGCACGGCTGACTCGGCTGAGGCCTGTTTCGCTCGGCCACAGCTGTGCTGGACGACCCGGTGGGGATTCTTTCGGGCCAAGGGCGCCGCAGCATGGTGGGTGGCGTGTCATGGCCGTATCTACGTCTGATTGGGGCTGCCAGTATGGCAATTTCTGTTTTGCCAAGATTCTCAGAGTCGTTCCATGAGCTATAGGAATCTGTCATTGAAAATGGCCGTCCTGATTCAACTGCGAATAGCCTTTACCATTTTCAACATCAGAAGCCAAAGCTCCCAACACACAGAGCCCTTTTTTGCGCCTCGTACTGCAAGAATCTACAGTCCTTTACTACTTTCCTGGTATTTTCTTATGTAAGAGGTCCAAACCTAATGCAATCCACGGGCCTTTCTGGCCTTTTCCTTTCGATGGTCCGCTTTCACGGTGCAGGCGGGCCCCGCGCCGGACGCGGCCATGTCAGCGCTGCGGACGCACCTGCGCGAGGACGTCGGACCGGTCAAGGTCCTTGGAATGGCACTTTGCTACTTAGTTACCTAGCAATGGCCTAATACTACTTGTAGCACCAGCCTTTGGAATGGCCCAATAGGAATGCAGCTACTTGTAGCAAAAGGAACCTAATAGGAATGGCCTCCAAGCTTTCTTTTTGGCCGCAACACCGTTATAGTAGCGTTAGCTACTAGCTACTAGTATGAGAAGTCTCCAGTGGTGTTGTGGTGTCGACCCTCCACTCCGGCAGAATGTTCTTACATCGAAGACATATCATCTACATGTGCATGCTTGGACTAGACCTCCTGGAATCTCCACTGTGCTTCCCAACCTCAAAGACGAGAGACAACCCGCATTACCAAGCAACCGAAGGTTGTGAGAGATGCTTTTTGCTTTTGCAATCAAAATCCCAGGTCCACAGCCAGACTGAGACACGTTCCTCAGCTCCAAGTTCAGGTAGTTTGTGTCAAGGGTGAAGGCTTACCATTCCTTGCTGAGAATCTTCCTTGCCAACTCAGGAAAGCAGCATCAGGCATGATCATCATGATCCTCAAAGACGCAAACACAACCCCCTCATCCCCTCCTCAGTATCCACAAGTGCCTTTCCTTTTTTGGACCCCCAAGGGAGCAGATCCACCACTTCTGGAGGCTTTGAGGCTTTTTGAGGGGTAGAAGCCTCTTGAAGATATATTTCAAACCTGCCGGGTGCGCAGCGGAGAGAGGCCTGCGAAACGCGATGCAAGAGAACAAAGCACTTGGGACTTAGGACTTAGCACGAGTAGAATTGCAACCATATTGGGTGTAAAACATTTGATGGAGTATCGCATGGTACTGTTGTTGATGGTTGATTGGCGATGAGCCATGCAGCCACATAGTTTTTGGTTCTGTCTCCTCCAAAGTCCCACGTCCTTTTGTCAGAGCAACTCCATATGACTGTTTGACTTTGTGGTTTGCTGGTGCTCCTCTTTCGTTTCAGGAGCCAATAGCTCTTCAGCGCTGCCTCTCCAAACTCTTTGAACGCCTGGAGGTTTGGGTGCTCAAAATGACACAATCCAGAGGGTGACCGCGTGATCTCGGAGTCCTTGAAGCGAGGGAGTTTGGGGAAGAGATGTTGTTCATGATTTTGAGTGTTTGGAGGGTAGATGATGATTCACTGTGGGTATGGCAAAGTGCTGATCGACTGACGAAAAACAGCCCAGGGGTCTGCAAAAAGACCATCAGCCACATCAGCCACATCTATATATATATATATATGAATGATTAACTCCTGCACCACTCTAGATCAATTCCCCCAAAACCGGTGGATCTACTCTTGTGAAAGCAATGAACGCAGAAAGAGAAATCCGACCGATTTCGTTGGATTTCGTCCGATGTTCAGCTTCGATCAGCTTCGTTCCAAGCTGATGTTCATGGATCCGACATTCCATGATCCACTCACCCTCAACCAAAACATCCGCAAAACACACACACAGCCATGAGTGCTCTGTGGAGCTGAGATGTGCTCCGGTTCGCGGCCACACACCGCCACACCACACAGCCGGGCAACGGCGGATCCCGTTGATCCCGCGGTCGCCCAGACCGGCGGGCGCCTGGCGCTACTGCTGGACCGTCGAGACTTCGCAGTGGAGGTGAGAAGCTTTCTCCGGCAGCAGGAGGAGCACGGCGGGGGCCTGCGACTGGGATCCGGTCGTTTTCAGAAGGTATGGCTGGTATGGATTCTATGGGCCTCGATCGAGGGGAGAGTTGGGATTGAGTTGCGAGGTTGTGCCCATGAAGCTGCTAGAAAGGATGCTACTGTAGATTCTGCTGGATTTGAAGAGATGACAGCGGACAGTTTCCAGGTATTTGGGTGGCTAACCAGCTTGATCTTGTTCGAGTCTTTTTTGGGATTTTGGTGGCTTGTGTCTGTGCCATTTGAGTCATGAGTGGCGAGAGAACTACGGAAGGTAATTGACAGTTTCTATGATCCAGCGGCCACGCACATCGGCCTGGATGATACCCAGTTCTTTCCAATCACAAGGATCTCGAGAATCAGTTTACCTGCAATTTTGAGGATCTGCACGACGAGATCTGCACAGATGTTCAGACATGAAACACGATCTCCTCCGTCCGACGAACAGAGGGAGCTTTGCCCAAGGAGTCATTGTGGAGATTGACGTACCGTTCAGCCATGGTCACAATTTACTGTTGTTGGCAACGATTCGACCATTCATTGGCTTTCAGAATGAATAAAAAAGCACATTGGCTTTCAGGTGGCTAAGGTGGCTATGATTGCTTAGGGCACCATCCCAGAGCGGAAATATCAAGTAGAAAGAGTCTTAGTCTTAGGAGTCTTCGTCTTCCACCTGCAGGTCTCACTAGGTCGCATGTGTTGCACCCTATGAGTCTTAGAAGCATCATAAGACTGGATGGGTTTGGCAGAGATCTCAGTGGTTTGTCATCCTGGGTCTCAGTTGTCAGCAGATGCTTTGCCAGGAAGTTGACGAGTCGCTGGTGCGAGATTGGCGACCCCACAAGGTGAGGCGTTTGTTTTTCCACGCCTGAAGAGCTGAACCTTCGCTGGGAGCTGATGTGTTTAGTATGAGAAGGTACCTTTTGCCAGTCCTTTTTTGTTTTCTTCTATGCAGCTATGTAATATTTTTTGAGGTACCAACAACATGTGACAAGACAGGACGCTGGCCGGGTGACCAATGACATCCCCCAAACCACACAAATCATTGGTTTCAAGCCCCGTCGACGTTTGAGACGCGGCCTCCCGAAGCGGACGCTTGGGTAAACCTGACCGGTGCTCAGGAGGATTTAGCGGTCTCGAGCTCCAATTTCTGCAACGCTTTGATGGTCGCCGCTTCAAAAAGACAGCCGCTTCTCTACTCAGCAAGAGGGAGCCATGGTAGCTTTGGACAGAAAAAGCCGCTGGGCGGACACCTGACATCCGATTATTTGCATGCTATGTCAGATGCTGTAGGATGTACATCGGTAGGTGTTAAGCAAAAGGGGTTGTCTCATGATACTCTTGACATGTCCAGCACATTTATGGCTGAGTTGGACATAGACCCTTTCCCCATTTTGGCTAAGATGGTCCTAGTATGAAGAGCCCAGCTTCTGGTCGTTGGGCCCAAACAGTTTATATACATAGACAAGATGGTTGAACACCCTTTTGTTTTTCTTCTTTTTGCCACAGCCCCCCCGATGGTCCTGAGATGTACAATCCCAGCTGGTTTCCGGTTTGTGCAAACCCATCATCAAATCGTTCTTGGATGACAAACCCAGATGAAGCCGCTAGTCACTAGCGGCTCTTGTGGGTTGTTCCGACCGCAGGTGCCTCAACTTTTTCCCTCGAATGGGCAGCCGTGGGCAGTGCAGGGGCCCCAGCATCTCGAAAGGGAAGTGGAGGTCGTGAAGAAGCCGGGATTTAGGACCATCTGGGTTTGTAGGAGGCCCACAGATAGGTAGAAGGTATTTTTTTGTTTTGATGTGTGGTTACATGCTTCTCTGTCGATCTTGGGGTCACTCTAAACTGTAATTGCATAAGTTTCAGTTACCGGTGGTGGTTTCTTCGTCACAACTCTGATGGGTCATTTGATGGGTTTCATGGAGACAACTGGAGCTTGGATGCCCACCATGTGTGATGGGTTTTGCTTGGACGTTGAGTGCGTCATCGTTGTGAGTGTCTCGACGCGTGTCGTCCGCACTCGTGGGCGTGGGCGGGGTTTTGATGCGCGAACTTTGCCTTGGTTGACACTGCAAGAAGTCTTGGTCCTCGGCATTGATATTCGGTGCATGGACTCCACTGATTTGCCCCACTGCTTTGCCCTGCGCCAGGCGCGAGATCAGCGAGGCAGCGCATCTGAGGCCGCTGGCCACCTCTCTGGCGGTCAAGGAGGCACGGGGATTCAGTGCCATTCTGGTGGACGGTCACGGTGACCCCCAAAGGGTCAACCTACCATTGCTTGAAGGAGCTTAGGTTTTGAATCAGATGCATGTTTCAATTTGTTTAACACTGCCGTTGTGGCAGTGTTATTTGACAAGGGCGTTTCTTGGTGTTGAAGTGTTGGGAGCACCTACGCCTATGCAGGTCAAATACAGCCGAGTCAAAGCAAACCATGTCTTTTTATGAGTCTTGAAGGAAAATACATGGTTGTGGGGGAGTACTCCTTGATCCTGGATCAGAGTCGATGGTTCAGCTTGCCATTGGGGCATTCCGATGGTTTTCCACATTGGACCAACCAACACTTCATGGTGCCACTGGACGGGTCCCGGACGAGACGTGGTTCCCTACGTCTTCGTTCTTGTTAATTTTTTCGGCCGTCGGTCCCGGTCTTGGACGGTCTTTTTCTTCTTTCGACTGTGGTTGTTGGTGAGTCATGACATGGAACCAAGGAACGCAAGCACGGCAGCAAAGACCCATCGACACTTGAAATACATCAACACAGTAGAGCCGACTCGAGCCTCTTGTTGTCGAGTCGAGGTCTTCCTCCTGGAGAAGCGACCACGACAACTTCAGCAGGGGGTCCCTTAGGATCCGGTGAGGGGGTCCCTGGTGGGTCGGAGCTTTCGGTTGGTGGTTTTCTCCCCTTTGGTTCGAGTGGTGGATGAAATCTGTCTAGACAGGTGACAGATGGAGGTTCCCGACCTGACAGGTGCAGAGTGTCACCTCACATCAGGGATCTCACGAAACAAACAATCCTCGTCACGTCCTGATGGTCCACCAAAAGCCAACGTGACCCAACGTCACCATCCACCGAGGTCCACGTCGGAAGGGCCCGAAGCGTGTGACGCCTGCAGTGCTGCAGGTGGGGGGGTTCCACTGAAAGTGAAGGTGCAGCACGAAAGCACCGCTCTTTGAAGAACACTCATCATAAGAAAGGCTCATTCTGAGAAAGCTTTTCATCTGGTTCACAAGAACTTGGGAACTTCTGTAGCGGTATGTAGCTGCAGGGATTTGTGGTCCAAAGCCTACTTCCCCGCTGTCTTCCCTCAAAGGGGGTCGCCTTACAAGGGCCTGCGCGCGTTTGACCGTGGATGACGCAGTTGGAAGTGCCCAAAGCACCCTTGTCGCCTAACTCGGCCCGTTCGGTCCAGATGAAGGAGTTTCTTGGACTGGGTATCCATGGGTCGATGGGTATCGATGCATGCGGTGGTGGGTTTGGGGGGCTGTTCCAGACATGGCTGAGATGGGGTGGAAGACTTCAGTTTGTAGTCGAGCAGGTCCAATGATGTCCAAGGTCAAGAGAGGTGTTTTCTAGCATGTGATGCAAGACAGGGATCATCCCATGTTTGACTGCAGTTGTTCAATTGGGATAGATGCGGGCCACAACTTGTTAAAGCGATCGAAAGGGAAATGACTGCAGTTGAACCCATGTCTTTTGGAGCCACAACTCATGCCTTTATTCAAGCACCACAGTGGTGAGTGCTACAGTATGAGATGTCGGGGTTGCTACAGAAACAGGTCGGGTTTGGATGGTTGGGTCATCCCTTGGTGGAGGATGATAGAGAGCTTTGACGGTGGTGTTCTCTCCCCTTGTCATTCCCGGAGTCTTCCCATCCAAGGAAAGCTGCTCAGATCCGCAAGAGCTTCCAGCGCCCAAAGTTTTGGGTCTTGGGCTTTGGCTGGTGCCTTGCAGGTTGCGCTGGTGCTGCAAACGTCATAGCTTTCAAGAGCTGGCATCTGTATGCATCACATGTGACTGGCAGTACGTCTGCCATGGCTTTCCGATTGGAGGGCTACCACAAAGGAGAGTGGGGATCCGAAAGCCTGAAAGAGGCTTGCTTTTTAGTCTTTGCCTTCTTGATCGGTGCCTATGCATGTGGTCTTTTGATTGACAAGAATCAAGTCCACTTCTTAGGCAAAGCCTTTTACGGCTTGGCATTGGTGTTGAATTCGACCTGTCTTGTGCTGGGAGCATTTCTTCCAGGGCGGTTGCTTCCGGTTTGCTTTGTCGCTGCTGCATGTGGACTTCAGAATGCCATGTGCACTTCTCACTTTGGTGCGATCATCCGCACTACTCACTTAACAGGTACCGTCACCGACATCGGCTCCACACTGGGCCGTATCAGCATGATCTACCTTCGCAAGGGTTGCCGTCGTTCGTGCTTGGATGACGTGGAGCGTGCGGAAGTGGGTGTGGACGGTCGAAAGCTTGGGGTGCTCTTTGGATTGTGGAGCTTCTATTTTGCCGGTGGCTTAATTGGGATTTACATGGAGACTTGGTGAAAATATGGCTAGAGTGGCTAGAGTGAGGACTTCAGAACTGGCATGCTGTGGGATTGCTCCCAGAAGACTTGGCGCAACAGAACATCAACATAATTATCCTGCATAGCGACATGTGCGCAAAAGTTCAACGCCAAAGGGGAGCGATTCCTCATTGTGAATCATCCGGTTCTCTTTTTGGGTTTTTCGGGGTAGATGTATAGAGGAAACGAGACCAGACACTCCTGCAACATGTAGCGTGGACTAGGGGGCTCCATCTGGGTGCTCATTCACAGGCAGCTGGAGAAACCGGAAAACCGAGAGCCACATGCGGCATTGAAACGAACATGAGAACACAACCAAGCCAACAGAATGGGTCAAAACCTGGAGCCCTGGCTCACCATGTAGCGAACGACCTCTCAGGTAGGTCAACTCAACTCCCCTGTACCCACCGAAAGGTGAAGGGTGGGAAGCGTCAAGACCGGAGCGCAAGTCAGGTCGGTAGGTCAAGGTATCCTGGTTTTGACCCACAGCCATCGAGATGCAGGAGGTAGGATGCTGCACAGGCCACATCCGGAACTTCCAGTCAAGAGAGCTAAGATTTAAGCTTTTCAGACTGTTCCAATTATGTATATTAGGATCTTGATTAGTAAAGCCTTCATTTAGTTTGGATTGTATAGCCTCTTCACATGTCTACTTTTACTTTTTGCACATGCGGTTTTACTCATGGACAGTCTACACTAATACGGAACTGGTCCCTCATCCATACCGTGGTACACCAACACTAGCACATCCTGTTTCTTTGACTTCTTAAACAGTTTTTGGGTCAGTCATGCAATCTTGATAGGGGTAATGTTAAGAACTGGGCGGTTGGGTGGTTTTCTTGGGTGACAAGGAGAACATCATTCCTGGTCCTCCTGAACGTGCCTTGCTCCTTCCGGCCACTTTCACGGGTGGCCTGGGCCTCTTCTACATGGCTTGCCGCCAGATTCTCAAGGACCAAATCTGTCGACAGTGATGGGAAGCGGGGATGACCAGATCACATCTGGGAACGTGCTTGGATTGTTGATCACACACTTCCGTCAAGGCTGCGGGCCACATCATACAATATGAAAGGAACTACTGCGGAAACATATTCCAAGCGGGCTGCCCAAACGCCTTCCCATTCACACATTCATCACGCAACATGTGAGATCGTGCGAGATCATGTGAACATGTTTTCATGTTTTTAGGAAGCTGTGAACGGCGAGGTATGCTCCCCAGGATATTCGATATATGATATATATAAATGAAACCTTTCATCACGAAGTGACTATCACGATAGTTCGTCTCCTTCAGGCGGTCGAAACGAATAAATCAGACCGTGTCTGTTGAAACGGAAGACCTGGGCAGGACTATATCAAGAAGTTGGAGAAGGATCGCTTTGAATCCGACCTGGAAGAGGCTCACAAAGTCTTGGCCAACATGGGCAACCGGCTCCATGCCATGGAGCACAGCGAGACTTCTGTGACTCGCCAAACCGGCGGGTGGGTTTTACCGGTTTTCCAATGGATTTCGACTTCAACTGCTGGATGGGGTGAAAGCCGAAGGGATTCCTCCGATGGATTGCGGTCTTTTTCGCCACTTCTGAAGGTGAGTGGTCAGCTTTCGGGAAGCCGGAGAGCCCGTTTCCGCCTGTTCCGGCTTGGTGGGGAGGATGGACCAATGGCAAACGTCCAAGGAAGAAGGAACCACACCCCACGTATGATCCAGGTGTGCCTCAGTCTCTTTTAGTATCTGTAATGATATGTAATGGATACATACCACACGGATCCGGTTTTGCAGGCTCGTTAATACAACCAAGTAAAGCAGACCCTGGGAGGGCAGTTCGCAGGGCGTTTCAGAGCTTTTGTCGGCAGTGCAGTTTTCAAAAGCTTTGCGAGGCCTGCTGCAAAGAGCCTGCACAAAGATCAACACTGAGAATCCAAAGAAAGAAGGGATATCAACATGTCAGAACCCAAGTAAGCCAAAAACAAACCGACATTTTGGATACTTTGGGGGTGCAACCTTGTCTCTTTTGTGTTATTCTCTTTAGTTTTGGCAACTGTCGTCTAAGCTGTCCTCCTGCTAGTTTTGCGTACTCATTCCATGGAAGCAGCACCAAGAACTCCCATTCTTAAGAATTTAAACAAGAAACAGAACAAAGTTGAAGAAGAAGAAGAAGAAGAAGAAGAAGAAGAAGAAGAAGAAGAAGAAGAAGAAGAAGAAGAATAAAAACAATAATAAGAAGAACAGGAAAAGGAAAAAGAAAAGAATTAGTAGGAGTAGGAGTGGACTAAGCTTTTGGATCTATGAACATCAGACACGTCGAAAAGTGCACTCTGCATCCTGCTCTCCCTCAGAACCATTCACAGCAATGCAATCTGGGACGTAAAACAGGAACAGCTTTGTTCCATGACTCTTGAGGGTCTTGGAGTAGAGCCGTGCTTGGTTCCGTCCACTGAACGGGACCTCCCTCCTCGTCGAAACTGCCCCCAAATGTGGTGGGGCCGCCATGCGGACGGTCTCGAGGTCGCCGAGATGGATGCAGAGATGGGACACATGATCGAGGCGCTCCACGAGGTGGAGGCGGACTTCGAGAATCTCTGCCGGCAACACAGCCAGATCCTGGATCGCACCGTCGCTTGGATGGGAAGATGGGAAGATCATGGACCATTTTTCCGAACCTTTGGGTGCGCAGATCTGTGCAGCATTGTTTTGGGAAAGGTTCAGGGTGTTTGATATGTCTTCTTTCGGGTTGATCGAAGAACTTGAACTTGAACTGTTTTAACTGGTGATTGTGATATGATTTTGAGGCCCCGCACAAATTTTGGCCGAACAAAGCGGCTTGGATGTTGGTCGAGTTGCTGTGGGTTTGGCTTTTTTGGCTGCCAGCCCTCTGGCAGCCCAGCTGCTCTGGGTTGGCCCTTAGTGGGAGAAAGCCGGGCCGAATTCCTCATGCAAAGCGGTGTAAAGTTCTCACACGCTTGGCAGTTCATACCTGGAATCTTCTGCTCGTTGCCAGGAAAGTGGAACCAGCAGATTCTCCAGCAAGGTTTGAAGCTTGTGTGGAGAAAGCTTGCGTGAAGCATCCGTATAGCCCCTTGGCCAGCATCGTTCGACTGGATGAGTTGCCATCTCTCAGTACCTGTTGGTGTAGAATAGAACAACACTTCGGCTCGTCTCTATCAGCTCCAGGTATGATCCCTGCCTAGATGGATTGTCCACCTTTGCTGGCACCTGTCTAGCAACGGCTGCGAAGCGAAGTCCTTGCAAGGAATTCATGCTCTGCAGGCCACAAGTTCCATTGAGAAGCCTAAGTTGCTCTCCTTCTCTTCAAGCTGCTCAAGTTTCAGGAACCTCGGAAAGGAAGGCCGTCAGTGCTCCACCAAGACCCCCTGTGAGGCCTCGTGTTCTTGCATGTTCGTACACTCATGCCGAGGCACCTGACCACCGTCTTTTAAGCAGCGAAGACCGTTTGGGCCGTTCGCAGGTGATAGTTGGCCGGGTTGGGCGTATCGTGGCCCCTTTAGGGCCATCTTTGAGACCTTCTTCCCAAAACTGATTGGCTGCTAAGCAGTGTGGCCCATGTCGACAAGCTGCAGTCTTTGTGATTTGTTCGAAGATATGCCTTAGAGCTTTGAGTTTTCTGAGCAGTTGTTGGGTGCTTGACATGGGCCATAGCGGTTGGCTATCTCGACATAGTGGGGACGAGGGGCAAGGCAGCCTGGAAGACTTGGGCCAGACCTTCAAAGTCATAGCAAAAGGGTGAGCGCTCTTGTCGAGATGATCGACGAGTTTCTTGAAACCCACAAGCCACGGGGTTCTCCCGCCTCCCAAAGCGAGAGTATCTCTCAAATGCTTACTTTGGCAAGTGAATGTGCTTGGAACGGCGTCATGAACTGTGTTCCCGTCGTTTCGTTTCTTTCGCTCGGATCTGTCGAGCTCGCCCCCCGCAGATCTTGGAGAAAGCTGCCCACTGATCCGCCCCCCGTCTCGATGCCCTCTTCTTCCTTAGCCGCGTGTGACGCGCCAGCGTGCGACGCGCCCCACACGTGTATATCACCGGTGTCTACGCAATCCACTCAGACAGAGAGGATGAGGGAGATGCTTGGAGGGAAGGATCTGGAGATGTGAAGTAGGTTACCCCCCAAAAAAAAAAACACCATGGATCGGATCACACCTTGAAATTTCCTTGGAGGAAGATTGGTTGGTTGGCCAGTCTGGTCGGTTGGGTGGTGGTGTTTGGTTGGTTGGGTTGGTGGGTGGGTTGTTAGTTTGCTCGCTCAAGGGTTGTTTGTTTGCTTGGAAGGCACCTTTTCCTGTCACGATCGGCGGTGAGCGGGGGCTTCCCGCTTGTACTGTACTTCTCTCGTGTTTCTCGAGCTTGAAAACATAGGATATTACTGTAGTGCTTTTTGGGGTTCATCACAGATGACTTTCCAAGCACCCACAGGAACTCGACGTGACCTTACAAAAGTGGAGCCCCCACATTTTGCAGAACTACCCTCGACATTGACACAAACTACAAACAGCTAGATCAATTGCTTAGCTTGCTGTTCTTCCAACACTTATATTCACGAGGATTGCTGTTGGAATGGCCCTTGGCGATGACAGCTGCGCATGTTGGAAGCTCAATTCCACGTCGCCATCGTTTGCCCCGCCCGTTTGTCAATCTGAGGAAAGCTGCGCAGATCCGCAAGAGCTTCCAGCGTCCAAAGTTTTGGGTCTTGGGCTTTGGCTGGTGCCTGGCGGCTTGCGCTGGTGCTGCAAACGTCATAGCTTTCAAGAGCTGGCACCTGTATGCATCACATGTGACTGGCAGTACGTCTGCCATGGCTTTCCGATTGGAAGGCTATCATCAAGGAGAATACGGATCAGAGAGCCTGAAAGAGGCTTGCTTTTTAGTACTGTCTTTCCTACTTGGAGCCTTTGCATGTGGTGTTTTGATTGACAAGAATCAAGTCCACTTCTTGGGCAAGGCCTTTTACGGCTTGGCGCTTGTGTTGAACTCAACCTTGCTGGTGCTAGCCGCATTTCTTCCAGGGCGGCTGCTTCCGGTTTGCTTTGTCGCTGCCGCCTGCGGACTTCAGAATGCCATGTGCACTTCTCATTTCGGTGCCATCATTCGCACGACACACGTGACAGGCACTGTCACCGACATCGGCTCCACACTGGGCCGTATCAGCATGGTCTACCTTCGCAAGGGTTGCCGTCGTTCGCGCTTGGATGACGTGGAGCGTGCGGAAGTGGGTGTGGACGGTCGAAAGCTTGGGGTGCTCTTTGGATTGTGGAGCTTCTATTTCATTGGTGGCTTAATTGGGATTTATATGGAAACATGTCTTCAAGAGCGGTTGCTGAGGTTTGCTGTGGGGCAGGTTGGGCTTACTGCAAGTTTCGGAGTTGTTTATGACTGTGGGATGCAGTCTCCTAAAGAATTAGACTAGATTAGACTAGACGCAGATCTGCTCCGACCACTCTGTTCTGCGGGGACAATCGCACATGCAATTGCAACGTATCCATTACGGAAAAAGAACCCCTGTTGCTGGAGCCCAACTTGAGATGGGTGTCTTCCCATGCTACTGTTGAGTAGGAAAAGGCAAACCATTGCCAACCGACGCTTGGAAGTCCCCCAAAGTCTGGCTTCCATAACTGCCCATGAACTGAGGAGAATGTTGTTCCCTCGCCGCCTCAGCGAGTTCTCCTACTCCCTGCCACCTTCACTGGAAGCTTGGGCGTCTTCTACATGGCCTGTCGACAGATTTTGAAGGACTGAGGGTGGAGAGCTAGGGCCGGAGCTTCAAAAAGAGATACATGGCCAGTGTAGCAAGGTTGGAAGTTGAGTTGATTCTCAGCCGGGTTCTACCACCAGCATCGTTCGAACTGAATGTAAAAACATAGTCATAGCAGCCGGCCCTTTCTGTTTAAATTAAGGCCGTGGATTGCCTCCTTACAGGTTGCTTGGATCCCTTTTGGGACTCAAGCAGCGTGAGGTATGCATGAGCCCATGGATCCAACCTGGGTTGTTTGTGAATAGGTCCAACTCAAATGCAAGCTAGGTCCTTAGGTAGGTCCTCGTAGAGAAACAATATTCTGTGATCTGTCTGATTTCGGGAGATGTCGCGCAGGACTACATTAAGAAGTTAGAGAAGGAGCGCTTCGAATCCGACCTGGAAGAAGCTCAGAAAGTCTTGTCGCACATGGGCAGCCGGTTGCAGACGCTCGAGCACAGTGACCACTTAGTGGCTTGGTTGATCGCTCAGAGACTTTGGTGCTTCAAGGTTCGAGAATTTTCCCAAGTCCGGCAGCATTTTTTGTAGTATATAGACGGAAGAGCCACGCCATGCGAAAAGAAACAGGCAGAGAGAGCGCACGACTACTAGAAGTTTTTCTTTAGTTCTTCTCCAACCAGACAGCTCAGGTGGTTGAATGGGATGCAGAGATGGGTCACATGTTCAAAGCACTTCATGAAGCCTGGATTTGCAAAGATTGCCTTTTTGAAAGCGCAGGCTTGAGTCTCCTGCCCGAAAAAGTTTGGGTCGGGTGCTTAGTCCATTTTGGTTTGCTATTTTTGGCCACTAAGTCGATTCATTCACCTCAGGAAGTGGAGACAGGCTTTGAGATTTTATGCCACCAACACAGCCAGGTCCTCGAACAAGTCGCTGGGCGAAAACGCCCAGTTTGGGCGGCTTTCACTCTGGATCCGTTTTTTTTTTTTTGAGAAAAGGGGGACCGCGAGAAGCAGCAGTTGCCATTCTTTTCTGGGACGACTTCCATGCATGCTTTGGATGGAGCAAGTTGGTCGCTGAGCTACATGCTTTTGTGTACCCAATCATCATGCGTGGAAAGGCTTTTTGCGGTTCATCATTCCTGTCCTCAGCCCATGGAATTGGACAAGTCACCTACGTTGACTTTCATCGACTCTACCCAAGTAATGTTGAATGCTGATAAATAGAACCCTCATGAACCCTCCAGCCAAAATGCTTTTACATCGTCATATTTCCCTATCACTTGAAGTTCATGAATGCCCTCAACAACTTTGGCTCAAAGCCGGCCCGTGCATGTCAGCGTGGGCATACGCACTTGAAGTGGTGCATGAGCTGAGATGGATTTGGCCGGCGGTCCGCCTCCTGATCCTGATCCTGAGCTTTGCCCAACCCGCTGCCTCCCTTGCACCAGCCGCAGGGGATCCTTCACTGAGGAGGAGCTGGCTGAATATGAGGAAGTGGTCACTAGGCGCGTGTGGAAATGGAGCACTGAGGGTAAAGATTCTGACAAACTCCGTTTGGTCGTTCCTGTGGCTGAAAGACCGGCTGGCAAAAAGAGGCAAAGCCGAGGCAAGATGACACCTTGGTCGTCAGGTTCTCGATTGACTCTCGATTCACTTCGTCTGAAGCGTGGAAGCGCATCCAGTCAGACCCTGGCGTGCATGCTCGGAAGTGGGTTGCAGGTGTCGCCCATGAAGTTTCTGCTTATATCAAGGACACTTGGGGGTGGGAGCTTCAGAGTGGAGCTGCTGGCATTGGCAGCGTTGTTAAGGGTCTCATTCGTGTGAAAAAGGGTCCTTTCATTGGCCAGTTGTTGTCTGCTAGTGGTAGGAGTCATGATGGTAGTAGGTTCTTTTTAGATCCCTTGGCTTGGGAAGGCACTCCTGCAGGTGTGAAACCTTTCGTCAGCTGGATCGATAAGGACCCCCAAGAAAAGGACAATGCTTACGCCTCTCGAGTTGCGAAACTTGCCATTGAGTATGGTATCGCCAGAGGTTGGAGGCAGCTTGGGGTGCGCTCCATGTCTGAGGAGAGCAAAGTTGTGACCAAACGTAGTCAGTCTTGGGTCATGCGTTCTGCCCCGCGACATCGGGATGCTGATGATGTTGTCCGTTTCCTGCAGGCTGCTCATTTCACGGAAGTTGAGTTAAACGTCAAGAAGCGCGAGAAATTTGGGGTTGCTCTATGAAGGATCTTCTTTTGATGAGGGTCGTTTTGTGGTGGTTGAGCGTTATCGTAACCCTCGACTTATTAACAATGTTACCAGGTTGAAAGGAGAATTCCGGGTTGATTTGAGGCATGAACCCCCACTTCTAGTGGTTCTTTTCTGGCTCCTGAGGCATCGGCCCCGGCCTCAGTTGATCCTCCAGCTACCCAGTCGGAGGAGAAGTCGGATGCTATGTCTCAAGATGCTCTTGAAGAGGGTGATGGAGGGAAACGACCCACTGCTTCGGTGGGGACCAGCCCTGAGCGGAAGCGCCTCAAGGTTCAACCCCTTCCGGAGGGTGTGATTCGGATCCAGAATGAGGGTCTCGGCAATTGTTTGTTTATTGCTGTTTCTCAGTCGATTGAAGCGACCAGCAAACAACAACATAGTCACAGATCAATCCGCGCTGCTGCTGTGAAGCATTTGAGAAAGCATCGCGATCAGTATTTCATGTGGTGGGACAATTTGTGGCCTGATGGTACCAAATGTGTGAAAGAAACTATTGATGGATTTGATGAGTACATTGGCAAACTTGCTCAAATTGGATCCTGGGCAGGGAGCCTCGAATTGGCTGCCCTTGCCACCACCATGGATAGACCAGTTTTTGTTCTCCACGAAGTTGGTCAGGTGTACGGGTTTTGTCCTCCGGGTTCAAATCGTGATATTTTCTTTTCCACAGCCAGCAGGAAGGCCATTACGAAGCTCTTTCTGTTACTCCTGAGGCAGCTCTTCGGCTCCGTGCTAAGGCGGAACAGGGAAAAACTAAGGGTGGTCGAGGTCTTCACAGAGGTGGCGGAAAGACAGACTCAGTTGGTGGACGTACGGCAAAGTCTTTGTCTTTCGGGGGGTGCACTCCCTCCTTTGTTGAGCCCCGTGTTGAGCAACCCGCTTCTTCGAGCGGCCACGGGGGCAAACCGATTGGCATGAATGTTGGCTCAGTTGGTGGTCAAACAGCCCCTTGTCGGAAGAACAACTTCGCTGGATCTGCTGCGAGTTCTCAGTTGCTTGGTACGGACCTCAGATCCCAGGATGTTGGTTCCTTAGCTCCCTGCATGTTTGGACTCCAAAAGATGCGGATTGTTGGAAAGCAAGCCACTCCTGCTGCTTTTTCGACACCTGCTCGTCAAGTCACGGGCAAGAGGGTACCCAAAACGATGTGGACTTGTCCTTATTGTCAGTTGGTTCTCCGTAAAGATGATGCACGTGCTTCTTTGGCTTCAAGACGCCTTGATCATCTTAATAAGGCTCATGCTAAAGATCGCAGCAAACTGAATGATCGCATGCGAGAATACACTCCTGTTGTTGTTGCCGTGACGTCCCTGCCTCAGGACCAAAGAGCTTGGGAGTGTCCTTTTTGTGAAGCTAGTCTTCCTCAGTTGGGTAAGTGGGATCACGACAAGGCAGTCACCCACCACTATAAAACGAAGCATCCCAAACGTGACACTAGTCGTGTTGCTGTTTGCAAGGCCCGTGCTAAACTCCTGAAGACGCGCAAGAAGAAAGCTCAACGTCTTGAACTTGCCCAAAAGGTCAGGTGCCGAAATGTTGATAGAGCTGCCAAGAGCCGGAACTATAGCATTGGTGGTCACGAGTTGGTGGAGCTCAAAGTTGACAGTCAGAAGTGGCCAGTTCTGCGGTCTAAGAAGCCGGCTTGTTTTGCTACTTTCCTGACCTGTACTCGTTGCAGAGGAACGCGTCGAAGTGGTCATTGGAATTTCAACTGCCCTGGCAGTCGGCCGTGTCCCTTGGCTGCGCAGTGTGCACTCTGGCGGCGGCTTTCTGAGGACCAAAGGCTGGCGCTTGCTTCAGCTTGGAATGTGAGCTTGGCGCAGGCGGTCGAGTGGTTTGGCCCTTCTCTCGCTTCGAAAAAGTGTCGTACCACTGGAGTGAAATCTTTGAAACCCTCTGATCACTCGATCGAAAAGTCGTGGCAGCGTGACTTGGTTGAAGATGGGGATGTGGAGTCCCAACCCGGGCCGGGTTCATGGCGTGGTCTCACTTTGAATTGCGGAAGTCGTGATCTAACTTGGAGCTTTGTTAAAATGGTTTGTGACCGACAGCTGGTTGCAGATGTCGTATTCTTGCAAGAGACTTTCCTTGATCCTAATGCGTTGAACTCGATGACTCGGTGTGCCAACTTGGCGGGCTTTCGGCTGTGGACAACCGAGCCATCGGAAGTTAGTGGTCAGTATAGAGGTGGTGCGGCGGTCTTGGTTCGAGCCTCTCTTCACGCTCGGGTTTGGTCCGTCTTCTCTGCTAAATCTGGCCAAGTTGTGGCTGTTGTGCTTAAGGATGTCATAGTGGCTTCTGTTTGGAAGGGGCACTGCGACCCTCCTGATAGTGATGACTTTCTTGGGTTCCTTGGTGAGGAAGCGAACGCGCATGGCTTGGGTTTGGTCCTTGCAGGTGATTGGAATTGGACTTCGTCTGAGAATGTGTTGTTCGACCCGGACGTTTTCTCCTTGCTTGCTGTGGAGGATAGTACCGGCTTCATCCCCGCTCGTTGGAAGGGCTCTAGAGCTATTGACTATGTTGTTGGCACTGCACAGGGCTTCCTTGACGAAGCTTTTGGCGATCACGAAGGTGTGCAGTTTGAAGTCCGTGGTGTTCTTCCTGAAGGCCAGTGTTTCTCTAGGGTGCAAACTCAAAAGTACACTTGTCCAGAGGACCTTGAGAAGCAACAGTGGAAACAAGAGTTAAGTGTGGCTTGGCTTAATGATGACACTGTGTTCCCGTTTAAGGATGAAGTCAATGTTGAGGTCGAATGGAAGTGGTTCAACGCTAAACTTGAGCGGATCTTTTCTGGGACTGGTCGTCCCAGCGCCTCTTGTATCCGTGCGAAGGGTAGCATGCCTAAGGTTCTTCCTGCTTCTAATTTTCGGATATGTGGTTTTCGGCATGGCTCTTTTAGGGAAAGATCTCTGCGGAAGCTTCTTGGTAGGGTGAGAGAGGCAAATCGGCAGTTCTTGTCCATGGGCCGTTGTGATGAGGGTTTACTTCGGCATGTGGAGAAATCATGGCCTCGACATTTCCCGTGGAGTTCTTGGGCAGATGCTGAGTTCAAAGTTGTCCAGAAGTTGAAGGCGATTTCTGATGCGTCTCGTAGTGCTCGTCTGAAAGAACAATAGTTGGAGGAGGTCGAGATGGTCTTCTTTCCTCAGCAAAAGTCGACGGGACAGTGTTTTGCTGGCTCAGGCTGGTGTCGGTTTCAACGAATCTAGGTGCAAGCTTGTTGCTAAGGCTTTCGAAGAAGGGGACAATCATGTCCGTGCGGTTTTAACTGGCGCGGCAAATTCTTCAGCAGTATATCAGGTCATCAGCTATGGCCACACTAAGGTGGGATGTGAATGGTGTCAGCAGGACGATGTCGTCTCTTCTTGGTATCACTTAGGTTGGGAGTGCTCTTTCTTCATGGCTACGCGGCCGGTGTGGGGTGGTATGGACGTGCTGCAACTACGCCTTGGATGGCCTAGTGGATCGGCCAATGATGCTGTGGCGCTGCGGCATTTGGCGACGACTCGAAGTGCGGTTTTGGCTACAGTGCTACAGCTCCTCACCGAATCTCTCCCGAAGAGGAGGAAGAGGAGGAAGAGGAAAGCTGGCCGGCGGTGCTGCTGTCCTCGGGCACAGTATCGCGAGAATAACACCGACCATTCAGATCACCAAGACGACGTTGAGGCCAATGAAGCTAGTTTCTCCGTAGGCTCCAGCAGCCGATCTATCCTCTCGGTTCTCAGCAGCTGCAGAGGTTGAAGAGGACCAGGCTGAGCTGTGGGAATTTTTGCTGATCAATGCTTCCATCTTGTCTCTAGGCTGCGAGCCACTACTGGGGCTGGACACCCACTGCTTGATTGTGAGCCGCCGGCATTGTGGCACGAGCTCGGCTGGAACGCCGGCCAGGTGGTGTCTACTTGTCAATGGGGGCCCAAGGGTCCGATGGCCCTCTGCCCTCCTTGGTTCTGAATTGGCGCAAAGAGGATGGAGGTGAGTGAGGGGAACGCGGATGGACGCCTCTAAAGAAGCACTTAATCGAAGTGCCGCACCCGGCACCAGCCAGATCCCGCAAAAGGACAAGGCCGCGGGAAGAAAGGCTGGGGGAAATAGAAGAAGCAGTGGAGCAAGATCAGGCGTTGCTTCCAGACGTGCTCGCCCCGTTGGTGAAAGAGATCATGGAAGGTGCAAGCGCTGATAGAAAGGATGTCAGGTCGCGCAAGGTGAAGGCCATCTTGGAGAGCAACCGTGGTAAAGAGCCGCTGGAGCATGGAATGGCTGCAATGGCGCAGTGATGGAGGTATCATGAGTTATCCATGTGGGCGACAGCACCATGCTGGGCGGGGCATCTGAGCAAGAGTGATGGTCCCTATCGCTCGTAGTTCATGAATGCTCTCAAGAACTTTGCCCACCCGGGCCTCCTCAACACGGGATATTTGCGGACCTTGAGTTGATTTGCTGCTTTATCTACAGTTGTTGTCACATTGGCTTTGTGGTCCTTGCGCTCCATTGATGTTTAGCTGCAGCTTCCCCATGCTGGGCGGGGCATCGGATCATTTGCAGAAAGCAAGGGTGACACACATATATATATACACATATAAACAAATAAAATAAAAAAATATGTATTCATACATATATATATATATTATATATATACAATATGTATTTTTGAAGCTTCCATGATGTGCCTGACATGGGTTCTTGTTGGTCAGATCGCCGCGGTGTGATTATGACCGAGGAGAATTCAACCTGATCAGCAGGGAACATTCGCTGCGGAAAGCGTCCGTAGCGCTGGCGCTCCGCCGCTTAGACATAAAGTTCCAGCGAGGGTCAACCAAGGCCTCCCGTTCTTGACCCACAACCAAATACTCATTCGTTTGTAGGTTTGATGAGTCTCTCTATGATCTATATACCAATTTTTTGTGGCACTGGCACTATACCGATTTTATATAATTCAACATGTTTACAGCTGTTTACAGTGTTTACAGTGTAAACAGATTTGGCGACTCACCGAGCAAAAAACAAATGCGTTGTGGGGAAGAACGGTTTTTGACCATCGGATGGGCCAGTGTGCAAGCCTTTTGTAGAACTCTTGCTATTTGAGCCAATTCTTTCGCACGGTTTCGCAAAAGGGTTCCTGGTTTGGATAAGAGTCTACCGAGATCTCTTCCGGGGTGTTAGCTTGGTTTTATTTTTCCAATTTGTTTCGTTTTTCATCTCTCTCTCTCTCTCTTTTTCTCTCTCTTTCTACTTTTCGTACAAGTATAATTGCTGCACATAAAGGCAGGGGACAGCTCCCATTCTTTCGCCACATTCGACTTTTCGATGCTCATCTCTTTGCGTGTCAGTGGCCCACTGGGCAATAGATGATTGACACGGATATGTTTGAGCCCATTGGCAGGAGAACCCCGGTTGCTAAAACCAAGTTCACGCATTGCTTCTGCCACAGATCGGACACCCATCCTGAGGCAAAGATCAACCTTGGTGACTTAATGATCGCCGCTGGAGGGATCGCGACGGTTCGACCCCTGGATGGACCTATACACTTCTCGCCACTTTTGCTTTTTCTTGGCGAGGTGCTACCAGGGCGGACTGGTTGGGGGAGGTGCTCAACATGACACGTGAACATTTCTTCTTACGGTTTGTCCTCCCATTTGTTGGTTTTCACAGCTGGTTTCTCAGCCTCAACCATCTCGAGTTGCTGTATTTTGGTCCCCAGCGTTTTGCTGAGAAACACCCCCCCCGCGCCGCAGTGTTATCTCCTTGTGAAGTGCGCGGCAATTTTGGGACACTGTACAGCATGCATTGGGCTCTGGTCCGAGCTGTTGTGAGGCACTGGGATCGTGTCAGTCAGAGAACTTTTACCAGCACCCAGCCCCAATCTGGGGTCTGGAGAGACAAACAAAACCTAGCTAGCTGGAGGGGCCTGTGTGCCAAAATTCTCAGTCAGCATTTGTGGATAGTCGATCCGGTTCGCTAGAAATGTGACATTTGACTATTCCAAGCTCGAACTCAGCTGTGGAGCAGGGCTTCCTGGTACGATGAGCCAGAGCGGAAACGGCCACCTGTTAAAGAATCCAACGGCCTGTCCGACGAGCTAAGACGTTAAAAGCCCGTCGTGCTCGTGTTTGGGTGAAGCGAGTCTGGGAGTATTCGACAGGCTCGGCAGGGTGGAGTTCCTTCTGACAGGGATGGTGGGCTCAGCCTTCTTGTGGAAATATAGAAGATCATTCGCACTACACTCCCTAGAATCATCATTGAATCATCATGGTTACTGTACATGGATGGCCCTGAGCCTCAGATGTCCATGAACTCCTTACTCACTCCACGATACCATGATGATTCATGATGATTTCAATCAGTGTAGACTGTAGAATAAGGGCCCTCTATTTAAAGAGTGTACAGCCTTCAATCTCCGACTCAGAAAGATGTCACAGCTCCGATGAAGAAAGAGTCCGAGCCAGACCTGAGGTGGACTCGAAGAAGTGAGTTGGAACTTTGAACAGTTCTGCCTTTGAAAGAACAGAGTTCAACAGGGAGGATTCATTGGGAAGGTGTTGAGCTCCATGCGCTTTGAAGTACCGTGTTCTGTTCGTCTTTTTGAAGTTGATCCTTCCAGAGGTCACCCAGTGACCTGTGACAATCACAGATGGGTCAAACCTTGGTGTTCGGACTTGCTTCTCGACCCGCAGATCTTTTCCACACCCGAGCGGGAACCGTCTTTTCGCAGCTGTTCTCGACCCATGACGCAGCTTGAAGTGCCAGAGTCTCAGAACGCCCCTTTGACCCCCACGTCGCAGAAGTCGAGTCCCACCAAGAAGATTCGAGAGACGCTTTTCTGCAAGTGAAATGATCTACAAGGATCGATCTCCTTCTGCCCCTAAATCGAACTTCTTTGCTGGGGTAAAAAAGGATGGACACCTTTTGTTTGACCAGTGGAAAACGGGCTGATGGCACTTTCGCCATCCAAACGTACACCCCGGATAGATAGCTACTTTCATGCAGTCACACCCTGCGCTTCCGCACGTGGACCACACAGTCATCCTCTTGAGCTTCAGTGGGTGAGAGTAGTTTTGTCGAACATGCCTCAATCCCCGTCGAAAACGCGCACTCCTTTCCCCTATTTTTTCTTGCAATTAAAAACAGGACCATCAACTTAAAAGAACATTACCACTGTATATCTTCTGATTGAGCCAACTCCAGACTCCAGCGTCCAAAGAGAGCAACAAAAGCTGAGATCATTTTGCCAGCACACCTTGACAAGACGGGCGTCTTTGCAGTTCTTTTGGTTTTTGTGGAATCTCCAGATTTTAGACAATATGCTAAGAACTTGTAAAAAGCTTGAGCTTCCCAAAAATAGATAAACTGCCAGATCCGAGAACATTCTCTGCATTTTCTTTTGAACACTCAGAGCCAAACCTGCTGTAGCGACTGTAGTGCCTGTAAAATGCAGAGGTCAGGGAATGTCTTCTCCTCCTCAACATCCCAACTTTTTGAACACGAGACAACATTTACAAAGAAGATGTTGTTAAAAGGTTTTTGCAGAAAACGATTCCAGTCCATATCACTTTGCGGGCCCATGCCCACCCGCTCTCTTTTTTTAATGTCTCAGGCCCATTTCTTAGTACACACTTGATGATTCCGAGGAAAGCTGCGCAGATCCGCAAGAGCTTCCAGCGTCCAAAGTTTTGGATCTTGGGCTTTGGCTGGTGCCTGGCGGCTTGCGCTGGTGCTGCAAATGTCATAGCTTTCAAGAGCTGGCACCTGTATGCATCACATGTGACTGGCAGTACGTCCGCCATGGCTTTTCGATTGGAAGGCTATCATCAAGGAGAATACGGATCAGAGAGCCTGAAAGAGGCTTGCTTTTTGGTACTCTCCTTTGTGCTCGGTGCCTACGCATGCGGTCTTTTGATTGACAAGAATCAAGTCCACTTCTTGGGCAAGGCCTTTTACGGCTTGGCGCTTGTGTTGAACTCAACCTTGCTGGTGCTAGCCGCATTTCTTCCAGGGCGCTTGCTGCCAGTGTGCTTCGTCTCTGCCGCCTGCGGACTTCAGAATGCCATGTGCACTTCTCATTTCGGTGCCATCATTCGCACGACACACGTGACAGGCACTGTCACCGACATCGGCTCCACTCTGGGGCGGATCAGCATGATCTACCTGCGTAGCATGGTGGATTTAGTGGGGCCAGTGCTTGGTGGTAGCTTTACTCGCGTGTATCCACCGATGGATTGGCAGCCTGGGAAGTGGGACTCCCTTAAAAAGAAACTTTTTGTGGGGAAGAAGCTGTCTCCCAAATCAGGGCATCCATCCATCCCTTGTATTTTGGATGGTCCACCATGTAGTGGATGACACTGCCCTTTCTGAAAGGTGGCCTTGACCAGCTTTGAGACACGGATGCTGTCACGGATTCCATGAGTCATGAGCATGAGTGTCGAAAGCAGTCCCTGAGATGTGGTGCAAGCCGCCCGACCAAGGGTCAGCTTGTGGTGCTCGCACGTTGAATGATCGATCTGCTCAGCCTGGCCACATGTTTGGACCCTCCTAAAAACATTCTTCCGAGGGGAATGTTCTATGGACCGTTTCGACCGAACAACTGAGTTTCAGGTTTCAGAGGTCGAACACTGAGCCCGTAAACGAAGAACACGACACCACCAAGTTTCTTTCCCTTTATGATGATGATGATGATGATGATGATGATGATGATGATGATGATGGAGAATTCAACCGGGCGTCCTCCTTTTCTTATCGTTTTTGATTGTATTTGTTTGGCTGAACGTTCAATGGTCTTCGCTTCCACCCCCTGATCGTCGAGGCAAGGGCTGTCGCCGTTCCAAATTGGATGATGTGGAGCTAGCAGAGGTGAGTGTGGACAGCCGAAAGCTGGCAGTGCTCATGGGCCTGTGGAGCTTCTATTTTGTCGGTGGCCTTGTGGGGATCTACATGGAGACTTGGTGTTTGTTTTAGATGGGTGAACGAGTAAACGGGCTTCCGGTGAGACTTCATTCATGGGTCAAGAATACATATTTGGATGATTCCGGTGATGAACACTCTCTCATCTTTTTGTTCAATGTTTCTTCGTTTGTGCAAGATGGTGCGGAGACACACACTTATAGAAATGCGTACGGAAGTGAATGGGGTGCCACACGCCAACCTGGGTTCCCAAATCCTGAAGAGGACAAACAAACCTGGTCTTCAAGAGGAAGTGGGGCCAAAAGCTCAAGTCGACATCGAACCGACAGATGACGACGTGGCGTGCATGTCTGCGGAATGCAACTAGCACTTTACGACCCATCTCGGCAAATGTTAAAATTCAAGCAGGTACACAGAGCTGATCAGGCTCTGCTGCACACACACACACGCCTCCCTGAGGGGAGGCGTAAAACTAAGGTTAAGGCAAATGTGCATGTGTGCGCGCGCGAGAGACAAAAAAATGAAGATATGACAAGAGGACGGGACGGGACAAAGGTGTAAGTGGTTGTGATGAAAGGGGAACCAAGTGCACAGGGACAAACAATGAAACCCACCTAATTATAAAGACCTGGGCCACCTAAAACCTGGGTTTAAAGTGCATGTAGTTGTGCACGTACACGCTAAGGCCGGGACCAATGTGCGCGCAAACGAAAGAAAGGATGAGATGAAAGACATGAAGACAGGAGGACATGAAAGAAAAGAGGTAAGCAGAGGTGTGTGAAGGGGAAAAGGATGAAAAGGGAACCAAATGGAGGGGACAAAAGCCAATGAACCCAAACCTCATTAAAGAACCTAGGCAAGCCTCGTGTGCACCTAAGCTCACGACAGACTCCAACGAGTCTTGAACAAGCTTCGGCCGCTGCGGCCACATACGCCGTGCCAAAATGGCTGGCAGATTTGGGAACCCAGGTTGGCGTGTGGCACCGCATTCACATCCGTACGCACTTCTATAAGTGTGTCTCTCCTAGTGAGAGCCCAGGCTGACCCGAAGAGTGGCCCCTGTGGACCCGTTAAACGGGGGTTGGTCTTTGTCCCTGCGCCCGGGACCAGAGTAGCTCGAATTCTGTCCATATTTTATTGAACCGCAAGCTGGCTCATGCCTTTACGTGACCGCAGCGGTCAATCCTGAAGAGGACAGACAAACCTACGGAACCTGGAGGTCTTCAAGAGGAAGTGGGGCCAAAAGCTGAAGTCGACATCGAACCGACAGATGACGACGCGGCGTGCGTGTCTGCGGAATGCAACTAGCACTTTACGACCCATCTCGGCAAATGTTAAAATTCAAGCAGGTACACAGAGCTGATCAGGCTCTGCTTCCAGCACAAGTGGATAGCTTCGTTGGGTGCAGTCTCCACTGTGCTCTGCACCCCCCTGCTCAACAAAGTTAAAAACACAATCAGCACAATCCGAGTGGATCCCTGTGAGTACAAGGGGCACACACACACACACACACTTATAGAAATGCGGAAGGGTTGCCACACGCCAACCTGGGTCAAGTGATCCCGAGTGATGACCCACGCCTGGGTGGATTCAAGCATGGCTCATACAAAGAACGCTCTTTGCGGAAACTTTTGGGTCGCATCCGTGAAGCCAACCGACAATTTTGGAACTCCCTCCGCAGACGATCATGGAGCCTCTAACAACAGACCCTTTCCCAAAAAACATTTTCCCCAGACCACCGCAGCTCGATTCCTCTGACCACATCGTGCCAGTCTCGACCGTTGACGGCTTCGCTTGATATCCGCCTGACCTCCCAGCAAGGCTTGGTCCCACTCGGCTTGAAATCCCACCAGGAGCCTTTTTCAGCCCGGCCACGTGTTCGGCCGGTGGGCCTGAGGAGAACATCATTCCAGGCCCCCCGGAGCGTGCCTTGTTGCTGCCGGCGACCTTCACGGGCGGCTTGGGCCTCTTCTACATGGCTTGCCGCAAGATGCTCAAGGAGTCAGACAGTCGACGGAGTTCTGGAAAAATTAGGTGAGATCATGTAGGATGTGATGGAACTTGATATGATCCGATGGCATTCAATTGGGCGCAGACTCCGAGTGTGGTTGGAGGTTGTCAGAGATTTTCTGTCCCGCGGGGACACTGCTGGAAAGTCTGATACAATTGCGACAACCGATCTTCTAGAGTACCTTACCTTTTTTCAGTGCGACATCGGTGGGCTTTGAACTTTCGTTGGTTTCGGTGCTTCTCATGCGTTGAAACCCTATGAGTCTAGAGAGTGAGGGTGCTACAGAAGATCACATGAAGAGAACTTGAGAGGTCCAAATGACGGCCGAAGCAGTTATCCTCAGCAGGTTCAACCCAATGAAATTTCATTTTGGAATGATGTGGTTGGCTCGTCTGTGCTGGATGCTCCATTCCTTTCATTCCTTTCATTCCTTTAAATTGCTTGGACGTGTCCTTTAAATCTCGGCAGGAGTATATCAAGAAGTTGGAGAGAGAGCGCTTTGAATCTGACCTGGAAGAAGCGCATAAAGTCTTGGTTCACATGGGCAGTCGTCTGCATTCTCTCGAGACCAGCGATCACTCTGTGGCTTGGATGCCCAAAGCTCGTGGATTTTGTTTCTTCCGTTCTTAAATGACCAAAGGAAAGGTCCAGCAAAAAGAAAGGGATAGAGATCTAAAGAGCAAAATCTGCTTGGCTAGCTTCCTTTTGACCAGTAACAAAGAAACCCTTTAAAACTCCTTTCCCACCAAGTGTGCGGCAGGTGGGAAAGATTTTCATCTCCCTTTTTCCCGTGCCAGCCACTTCTTTGATGCAAGCTGAGAAACAAGTACTGAACATATCCATGTTGATTCTTGAACAAACCCATTGATCAACATCATAGTTCACGCTAGCCTCCACCATCATCATAGATAAGATAGTCCAATCACTACATAGACCAATACCAGGTCACTGCACAATATTTTCAACAATTTTTACAAGACTCATTGTACAATCATCCTACCCCGAATTGGATCGTTTTGACTGATGGAAGTCTAACCCCCAATTCAGGCAACAACGGTCAAAACACATGGACGAGTTCACGGTTCGGGGCGGGGCGCGGAGGGTGCTCCGCGATTCGCTCATGCTGAGGTGGTTGAATTGGATGAAGAGATGGGACAGATGATTGAGGCGCTTCATGTGACTTGGATGTTGTGCTAAAGAGATGTGTTTGTTGGGCCAAAAGACTCTCATGTGTTGCTTCTGTTGTTGTGCCGAAATCAACAGCGGCGACTCGGGAGGGTTTTGGGGGATCATGAAGAAGACAAGTGGGGGTCTTTTCAATGATAAGGGAACATTTTCTAGTAAACCAAGCTCTGGACCTTTGGATCTTCCACAAGAAGGCACCCCCCCAAAAGAAGACGAAGACCTCCACCTACAGATCACTTCGCTCTCAGTGAGCTTCCACAAAAAAGGCACCTTGAGGATCCTTGAGGCACACATCCCAAAAGAAGGGAGAGAACGCGTTTGCAGTCTGCTTCGCCAAAATTCGTTTGGGGTCTCTTGAGAGTTTGGAAAGGCGAGAACACGGGGTCCTTCCGGTGCCATTTCCTGTTGTTTTGCGCGTCTCTCTCTCTCTCTCTCTTTTTCTTTTTTTCGGTGGTTTTCGGGGACGTTCGGCCCCAAGAAAGCCCATTTTCGCTGGACCCGAGTGGGCCCAAGGAAGTGGAGGCCGACTTTGAAAATCTTTGCCGGCAGAAAAGCCAGATCCTCGAACGAAGTGTCGCTTGGCCTCGTTTCGGCGGTGCGCTTTGCGTGTCGACAGTCCTCAGAAGACGGTTTTTCACTGCCATGACTGGTGGGATCACTTCCCTGTTTTGCCCATGTTTGGCGCGGCCCAGCAATGTTGCAGTGATGCTATTTTTGGCATAGCCGAAGTGCTAAATATAATTTAGGGACCTTCTCGCAAGATCTCCATTATGACTCTATTCAGCTTCTTTGAAATTTATGGCCTTCATAGATACATGTACATAAATCAACAAAATCTACTGTGTAGATTTGTAGCATGCTTTTGGATGGTGCTTAGAACCATTGAATCTACCTTTTGCCTTCTTGCCAACCCACATTATAAAGTCCAATCCGTACCGAGCGAGCCTGAGGAAAGCATGACAAGCAAGGGAAGCAGCAAGGCCAGCAAGGGCCAGTCCGCAGTGTGACCTGGTTTGATGAATCAGTGGATACCTAGCTTGTTTTCCTATCTATATACAGTGGTTTCAGAGTAGATGGCACAGACCCCATGATGTCCTTTAGATGGGAGTCTGTGCGATCTACTCTCAATCCACTATAATGAATCCACATTGGTACCACTACCATTCTATCTACTCCGCCTTCAGCCGCCCCTCCGCCTCGTGCGTCGACCGAGGTGACCGGGGTTTTCGCTCCGCTGGCCGAGCCGCCGCGCGGCGGATCCCCGCAGGTTCGGAGAGATGGGTCGGGATGGGTCGCTGTGGTTCGAGAGATGGCCATCCAGACATAGTTGGCCTTGTCGTTTCTGCCAAGTGGTCGGACTTGGTCGGACGGGGGGTCACCCAGCGGTGCTCTTCTGATGTTGTCTTCTTGGGTTTCTGTCTGATGACCTCTGGAGAAGCAAGTGCCTAAGAGCAGTAGCTGTAGGGCAAGAACACTTCCAGGTCACACCAACACCGTGGCCGCCATGCCTGGCCAAGGACTCCCTGAGGGAGTGGCGGACCGTTGGCGGACTGTTGAAGCAGGCTGGGCTGCAGCAGCGAGGAGCAGCGAGGAAATGGGAGCGGTTGACGGATCAAAAACCTCTTCCTTGATGAGAAAAGGCGTGGATTTTCATGGATTTTCAATGGGGAGATCGCTTCTTCAATGGGTTTCAGTCTCTATTTTCCATGTCCCCATGACTCTGCGACTCTGCCGAACCAATTTCGGACCCCTTTCAACTGCCCTTGGGACGTGCGACGTGGAAGTTCTTTGACTGGTTGGGAACTGAAGCAGACTGGTGTCTTGCAGACTGGTTGCGAACACCGAACTGAACGCCTTTTCCTTGCATCCGCATGGGTGAACATCTTCTGGTGAAGGCTTCACTCATGAGACAAAACATGGTGGCCCCATCAGTGCCCAAACTGTGCCCGAAGTCCTTGTGTTTCACCAAGGGTTTTCATGCCAAGAAGATCGCAGGTTGGAGCAAGTGGCATTGGGAATTCGGCAAGCGAGCGGCCGACCAAAACGCTCTCAGCATTTCTTGGTACAGTCAGAGTCACTCAAATCGAGTGATTTTACGTACTGCAATACTCTGAATTCATTGGATTGTAGCCTAAGTGCTTCCCGCATTTTGCAGGTCTTGAAGGAGCTTTGCACCCGACAATTTCGCGGCTCCGCCTGAAAAACGTGGTATAGAGGATGAGCCCGGTACTGTGGTCCCGAGCGCGTCCAGTACACCAGGAGGAGTATTTTTGACCTCCTGACCATGCAGAGCTTCAGCAAGTCTCAGACCAGAGCATATGGTTCAACCCTTTGGATTGTTCCATGGTCTAGTATGGTTTGTGTCGAAAAAAAGAGGTGTGTGCCACTCCGGCATAGAGTTTATAGGATAAGGTGAAAACCTCAAACACATTCAGCTTGCCTATTGTTTTTGACTTGATTATTACGGTGTTTGGGGCTCAAAGTACAAAGTCCTTCAGACAGTACGAGGAACACACAAGGCTGATTGGGTTTTTAGAGTGCAGTTTTCTTGGGTCGTTTGCGACTCTGGTGGCTGCTTTTTTGCTTTGACCCACTTCTACTCCAAAGTCCAGCGGATGGTCACACACACACACACACACTCGAGATTAAAGTAGGAATGGTATGATTGCTCCCCGTCCTGAAGAAACCTTGGAAACATGGAACACCTAAGCAGTGCAGCGGTGTCTGACATCACAAAGGATTCTAATTGCTCCGAGAGTTTCAAACTGCAAAGTACCAAAATTCCAGGTCATCTCCCAAGCTCCGGCAGCTACACAGTGGAGCGTGCTTCACCGTATCAACACCAACTGATACCATCTTAGTTGGACGGGCAGGATCAGCGATGTCCCGGCCCCCTGCTGTGTGAAAATCAAGAGATTACCTATGAGTCCAAGGTGCACACACACACACACACACACACCGTGGGGTGCAGATGGGGTGCAGATGGATTTCTTCCATTCATTTCAAGGGGTCCATTTGGCGTTGCGTCGACGCCCCCGGTCCGACCTCCCGTGAGGAACGCCCGTTCGGGGGGGGAGTGTCCACACCACGGAACCCGTCGTCATGAGCAGCCGCAAGTTTGATGCTCGTTCACGGAAGAAAGACAGATGCTCGTTTCTGAAGACTTGTTGAATGAGCTCTCACGAGTCAAACCGTTTTCGCGATGCGGAAAAAAAGATGTCGGAGAAACAGCTAAGCAGATGTGCCACCGACGTACGCAACGAAAGGCAAGTGACCTGGGTTGGTGGCGGGTGACGCCGGTGACGCATGGGTGTTACGCATTCGTGGTAGCCCTTGTCTCGGCCCATCTTCAAGCACAGCACGTCATCCACCAAAAAGTGATTTGTTTGTGGGTGTGCAAGGTTACAAGATTCTTTGCTTGACCATACATGCCATGATGTGTGTGTGTATGTGAGGTGCCACTGCAGCGTACCGGTATGTACCGGTACCTGCTGGACCTCTAATGAAGCAGACCCCCTTTACAGCAAAACTCCCTTTGCACCTTTCAATACTTTCCAGTCCTTGAAAGCTCTCGAATAGGCTTTCCGCACCTGTCGGGTTTTGTTCGTGTCCAGGTGTGCGAAGACGTCTGTGTCCTGCTCCTAATTGGGACCTGCTGCCAAAAAGGGTGCTGACAGGGGTGACTTCGAAGGGGGCGAAGGAAGAATGCCATTGCGACGGTGAAGGAGTAGATTCCAATCCATCCTTGTAACAAGTGGAGGATGTTGCCACCAGCTGGCTACACAAACAATGTCATGAGATTAGGCAAGGATTATTTGCTCAGCTTTGCTCAGCTCACCAAAGTAGATACAGAATTAGGTTCCAAAATGACCATTTTGGATACGGAATGGGCTCCATCCAAAATGACAATCTCATCTGATTTAATTAAAACTTTCAGCACTTCCTAAGGCTGGCAAGCTTCTGCTCAGTAGGAACTGCGGGAGCCCAATCCAGATCCCAAATTCGCCACTTAAAAACTCCAGGTGAGTCTTTGCAGCATCTTTGCACTTGAGTCCATTGGAGAAGGCATTGAGTCCATTCATTCACAGGTGTGGGAAAAAACCCATGGTACCAGTAGTTGAAGCTGGAACTTTCACGAGTCATGGGGGTAAATCTTCATGGGTCCCAAAATCCAACAAAGGAACAATCAGGGTAACCTGGAATCTTCGTACCCCATGGTGTCAAACCAAGCACCAGCCGCCACCGGCGCCGTCCCTTTGATGCTTTGGGCTCGAGTCTCGTCCGGGTCGACGACCTCCGTCGGTCCTCGGCAGTGGAGTAAGCTCGCCAAGCCAACAGCGGACCGAAAGGATCATGGAGCGAAGAAGGTCAGATGGAGCTGGTCAGATGGAGTGGAGCTAGCTGGTCAGATGGAGTGGAGCTTTTTGTTTGTATTTTTTCTGCCTCCAAGGCGTGCAAAAGAGCCACTTAGACTTGTTTTCAAGATATCATATCTGAAGTGGTAGAAGTGCTGGAACTGGGCGGATCCATTTCTGATGCCCGGGAGTTGGGCATGACCAGAAGTGGATGGCCTGCACATGCTTCAACAGTGACTGACTAGTTCTACTAACTCCATGTATGATCTGGCCGAACACCCAGTTACCAAACGGAATGCATCCAAGAAGCTGGCTCACATGACCAAACCGACCCTGTGACGTGGCAAGAAGCTGGCTGAAAGAGACCAGGGGGACCTTGACATCCTAAAGGGCTCGAGGCTTGTGATATGGCCGGGGGGGTCATGGCATCCTGCAAGACTTCTATCTCTCAAGATCGAGATGCCGGTCTGCTAAACCATACATGACCCATGACCCATACCCATACATGACACCTGGCCATTGGTCAAAACTGGAAATCTTTGGTACCACCCCAAAGGAACAGACTAAGCTGGTACCTCGGAGGTCACGCTCCATGGTTGGGCTCCAAGTTTTCACTCAAACCCATGCTGTTCCTTGCCCCCACCAGCATTCTCAGAGGCCGCCGATCGTGCATCCGGGGCACATTCCCAGGCGGGTCTGAAGGGAGGGACAGATGTCAGGCATTTGGAGGTTTGGAAGTGGCAGTCTTCTTCTTCTTCTTCCTCTTCTTACTCTTCCCACCTGTCCCAATGGGCCGGGCTGCGCTGACATCCTAGAGTTGCTGGACAAGTTGTCCTGCACAAAGAGGCGGCAAAAGGTGATCAACTCGACATAGCGAACTCCCTACCCTACCCTGGGGGACATAACCCCCTCACGAGCTGACCTCTGTGCACCATGAGAAAAACCCGTTCCAACTCGTTGATCGACAGGAAGCAGTGAACGACTCGACTCTCCAACGGCCTTGCCGGCTTTTCCCACTGGCCGGCCTCTCGGCCTTCTCGGCCATGGCTTGGCTCTTTGTCTCCAAAGTAAAGTGGCCCCCAACAAATAAGGAGCCAGAGCGCTACGAATGGGGCTCCCGGCCTTACTACTCGAAGCAAGGGCGCTACGATCGGGGCTCCTGGCATCGCTACGAACGGAGCATTCTTACTACGAACGTAACAAGCCATGAACGGGGCTCCAAGGCGCCTCCGACGGCGACGGCCCCGCAGGCCCAAATCGGCCTCCAGGCGTGCCCGGCACGCCGCTCCGGCGGAGAACGGGAGTTGAGCGGAGAACGGGAACCGGTTCGGTGACCGTGTCGGCGGGTTCGGTAAACTCACTCAGAGTCCACGAAAATCATCCTCATTTCCAGAGGAGAGCTGGGAGAATGTGCCCAAAGCATGGCGTGTATGACTGGGGACTGCTGCGGGTTTTGCACATAGCTTGCTGAAACAATGGCCTCGTTTGTTTCCAATTGGTGTTTTTGCTGATCCCCCGAGGAAATCAGACGGAGGTGGGAGATCAGACGGACCGTTTCGCGAGTCGACTGGTCGTTTGAGGCGTCTTTTCCGAGAAACTTGGGGGAGCACAAGTGCTACCAGTACCCCAATCAGGGACCGGTCCATTTCAGGGTCCAATTGTTTTGAACACCGGGGGCTATGGGGGTGAACCTTTGGGTTTTTCTGGGTTGCCTGACTCAGAGGTGGCTGTCAGTTCACTACGGTTCAAAAAGGGGATCGCGGGTCTTTTTCACTTTCACCTCCATTACTGGGAAGTGTCTGGGGAAAATCACCATCACGTCCTCCATCTGTGGCCTTCCACGAATCTTCGACCCTGAAGCC